GAACCAGGAGAGGGAGGCTGCGGTCAGCTGAGATAGCACCACTGCACTCCAGCCTGGGGGACAGGGTGAAACTCCATCTCAAAAAAAAAAATTATATATTATAATATAATTATATTAGTACTATTATATTCCTAATATATTCTAATACATTAATACTATATTATATATAGTATAATGCCATATACTATACATAATGTTAATATTAATATGCTAATATATATAGTATAATGCAATTTGTTTAAATATTCAAAGAATGCTACATGTTGTTCATAAATAAACTATAAAGACATGGATGAGAAGGATACAGAAGCTTCTGGAATGGGGAAAGAGAGGTTTTCAGTTGTATTTTTTTTTTTCTTTTTTGAGACGAAGTCTCATTCTTTCACCCAGACTGGAGTACAGTGGTGCGATCTTGGCTCACTGCAACCTCTGACTCCCAGGTTCAAACAATTCTCCTGCCTCAGCCTCCTGAGTAGCTGGGATTACAGGCACCTACCACCACGCCCAGCTAATATTTGTATTTTTAGTAGAGACAGGGTTTCACCATGTTGCACCAGGCTGGTCTCGAACTTCTGACCCCAGTTGATCCCCCTGCCTTGGCCTCCCAAGGTGCTGGGATTACAGATGTGATCCACTGCGCCCGGCCATTCAATTTTATCTTTAATGCATTACTTCTTTAAAAATATCTGAAACAAAGACATCAAAAAATTAACAATGTGTTCATTTCTGTAGGTGGTTTATCATACTCTGTACTTTTCTGGATGTTTAAAATATGTCATAATAAAAATGCATTCATGACTCAAAATATTATTGAACTGGAATGTTTAATAAATTTACATTCACATTTCAATTAAATTAAAATTTTAGTTTCAAAGTGGCTCTAGTCACTTTTCTTTTCTTTGCTTTTCTTTCTTTCTTTCTTCCTTTCTTTTTCTTCTTCTTTTTTTTTAAATAGATACAGGATCTCGCCATGAGCCACAGCACCTGGCCACTTCTCATTTTTAATACTGTAGGGAGATATTAGTGATAGCAATAGGCAAAATATAGACCAAATGAGTCCTGAGCATACAGCATGGATATAGACCCCTACGGGAACTTGGTTAAATGATGTCTTTCTGTCGTGTTATGTTTTATCAAATTACTTGCAATTCCTGGAAGGCTCATGTCCAATTAATTGAGATCTTCCTATAACATTTCAGCTGATAACAGCCACAGTCATTTAAAACTGGTAATAATGATAGGGTGGTTCCAGTTACTATATATTTGATTCCCAAACTCTTCCAATTCCACCCAGTGACTTGCCAAGGTATAAATCTGGTAAAATTAACACAAAGGAAGACATTTCTCAGATTTTCTCATTTACTAAAGTAAGGGCTATAAACAGTTGTCTGAATGGCCAGTATTTCACTAGGAATTTCAACATTAACAACAATAACAACAAAAATGCTTTACAAAAGCATTGAGAAGGTTGGAAAACCCAGCACTGGCTTTAGGGAGGGAGAGATTTGAGACTTTTGCCCTCAGACCACAGAATTACTGCAGACCATTAATTTCTTTCCATTCGGGCTTTAATTGGCTTTCTCCCTGGCACAAATTCTCCTGAATCTCCTCTAACTGTCTAATCAAGGCTGAGCTGTGAAGTACAGCAAAGCAAAGTGAACTTTGTTCTGTACGTAGATAGCTCCCAAAATATAGCTGTTTTATCAGTCATCATCAGGTTAGCACATGGAAAATTCCTTGGGCTACAGAAAGCTTTGGAGGATATAAAACTATTGATCATATCCCCCTAAGTAGCAAGTCAATTTCAATACTATGATTTCATGAATGGGCGAGATATATTCATTCGTTTGGCAGTTATATTTTTGAACACCTACTAGGTATCAGGCACTGTCCTAAGAGATACAGTGATGGAGACAGACATGGCCCCTGGCCTTATGTTGCTGATAATCCACATGGAAGAGCTGTCATTCTGGCCTGTGGAACAAGGTAATCTATAAGTGAATCCTGGACAACCAAAAATGCTAAGTGCTTTGCAGCTTGATGAATGGTGTGGAGTCTGGTCCTCTTTGTAAATAGAATTGGGGTCTTTGCAAAAGGTAAAGCTGAATTTTTTCCAAAATTCCATAATGAAGAAAATCTCACTCTTTGAGCCATACCTATATTTTTTTCTTTTTAATTTTTAAACTATTCTTCTTCTTCTTTTTTTTTTGAGACAGGGTTTCCTCTATCACCTAGGTTGGAAGTACAGTGGTGCCATCACAGTTCACTGCAGCCTCATCCTCTCCAGCACAAGAAACCCTCCCACCTCAGCCTCTTGAGTAGTGAAGACTACAGTGGCACACCACCACACCTGGCTAATTTTTGTATTTTTTTGTACAGACAGGAGTCTCTGCTATGTTGCCGAGGGTGGTCTCAAACTCCTGGATGCAAGCGATCCTCCCAGCTCGGCCTCCCAAAGTGCTAGGGTTACAGGTATGAGCAACCATGCCTGGCCATCCATGGTTTTTATTAAACACCCAAATCTCCCTAATTCTACTGGAATACATATGTAGTTACCACCTTACAGACTTTCTGAGGAAGACCTAAATTGTAACAGAGAGATCGAATTAAAAGAGGAAATGAGATGTTCCAGTGTGGTTTAAGGCCAAAGATAATGTGTAAGGAGTAGAAGAGAGGAAAGCACAGTGATTGTGTATCCCTTTGGAGAGGAAGCTAACCTTCGTTGAGCATTTCCTTGGTTTCACGCGCCATTTATCCATCGTTCTTTCAATTCTCCCAACAACCCTGCAAAGTAGACACTCTTACCCCTATTTTACCATTGAAGTAAACGAAGTTCAGGTTGGGAGCGGTGACTCATACCTGTAATCCCAACACTTTGGGAGGCTGAAGTCAGAGAATCCCCCCAGCCCAGGAGTTTAAGACCATGGCAACATAGGGAGACCCTGCTTCTGTTAAATTTAAAAGAAAGAAAGAAAGAAAGAAAAGGAAGTTCTGAAGGGGGTGCCTCTCCAAGGCCTCAAACTAAGGAGTCAAGAGCAGAATCCACTCGTGCAGCTTCACCTTGGTGACTTTGAACCCACCTGGTCTGACTTACAGGTACGGATGACCTCTAAGACTCCTGCCAGTGTCTCTGAGTCAATGAGTGCACGCTGTCACTCAGCCTGAAGTCAGATAGAAATCAGGAGAGGCAGTTAAGCTGCTGACAATTAAGGGGTTAGAAGTATAAATCAAAATGAGCATTGTTTTATGAGTCTCTTTTTATTACTTTCAAGTTTTATTCACCTGATAAGGTAAAAAGAGAATAAAAACAATCAAGAAGGCGAGTCCTTCAATACCCAGATTGCTGCAGCATCTTTTTTCTCATTGTGTTTTGTGGACAGATTAAGTATTAAATTATAAAACTAATCTGTTCAGGTATCAGGAATAATGTCAACTTTGATAAAGGTTCACTCGCTCTGAAGATTACTTTCAAAATGACCTGATCTGACTCAATGAATAATTTAACAATTGATTCTCTGGCAGAAACACTAAAGAATGAAAGGCAAGGCCTCCTAAGATCATCTTGGGAGAAAAAATTTCCTTTTCCCCGAGACCTTTATTTCACCTTAGTTTGCCTGTGATTGGCTTTGATGGGAAGATTCCACCATTAGTTCCTGATGGACCAGAGTTCTAGTTTTTCAGATAGATGCTATCTCTCTTGATGTGAAGATATATATCGAGGGAAGGGTTGCTTATCGTGTGCCTCACCCTGGGTCAGGCACTAGGGATGCAGAAGCCAGCAGTGTGCATGGGTCCTTACCCTGGCAGAACTCAAGGTCTGGTGGCAGAGGCAGCAGACAGACAGAGACTCAGATGCAGTGTGAGCAACACTCTGGAATCCTGGAGGAGGGACTCTTCCTTCATACTCAGGGGCACTCCTCAGAGAAATGCAGGAAGCACAGGAAGTGCAAAGGCCAGGGGGAAAGAGAACGATGGCGCCTGCAGGGAGTTGCATGCATCTGAGCAGTATTTGGGTGGGAGTTTACTGGAAGCCACAAAGGAGGAGTCAGATGTTCTCACTGTAAGTGCAACAGCCACAGATACCAACTAATACAGGAATGTGTTACTGCATCAATGGTGAAAATACTACAGCAGCCATTGTCATCAGAAAATTTCATAATTTTCTAAATTATTGAACAACCCTCAGGTAAGTTCACAATCTGTGAAAGTATAATCAACATTCAATTTGTGTAGTATTTGCTTTTCTAGAAAATGCAGTATATAGTGCGTATAAAAACTGTAAAAGGCAGGGCATGGTCGCTCATGTCTGTAATCCCAGCACCATGGGAGGCCGAGGCAGGTGGATCACTTGAAGTCAGGAGTTTGAGACCAGCCTGGCCAACATGGCGAAACCCCATATCTACTAAAAATACAAAAATTAGCCAGGTGTGGTGGCTTACACCTGTGATCCCAGCTATTCAGGAGGCTGAGGTGCCGGAATCGCTTGAACTCGAGATGCAGAGGTTGCAGTGTGAGCTGAGATTGCGCCACTGCACTCCAGCCTGGGCAACAGAGTAACACTCTATCTCAAAAAGAAAAAAGAGAAAAGAAAAGAAAAAAAAAACTGTGCAAAAAGTTCTTTCAGTATGTAAAAATGGAGTAATGTTCTAGAAACAGATAAATTTTTTTTTTTTTTTTTGGACGGAATCTCACTCTGTCGCCCAAGCTGGAGTGCAGTGGCACAATTTCAGCTCATTGCAACCTCCGCCTCCCAGGCTCAAGTGATTCTCCTGCCTCAGACTCCTGAGTAGCTGAGATTGCAGTTGTGCACCACCACACCCAGCTAATTTTTGTATTTTTAGTAGAGGTGGGGATTCACCATGTTGACCAGGCTGGTCTTGAACTCCTGACCTCAGGTGATCCCCCTGCCTTGGCCTCCCAAGGTGCTGGGATTAAAGGCATGAGCCACGGCACCCAGCCTAGATACAGATAATTTTACCCTCATTGACTTATATATGGAATGTCCGATGGGATTTTCAAAGGTCATGCAAGATTCAGCAGAATTCTTTTCTTTTTTTTTTTTTAGACGGAGTCTCACTCTAGCCTAGGCTGCAGTGTAATGGTGCGATTTTGGCTCAAACCTCTGCCTCCCGGGTTCAGGTGATTCTCCTGCCTCAGCCTCCTGAGTAGCTGGGATTACAGACACCTGCCATCCTGCCTGGCTAATTTTCATAGTTTTGTAGAGATAGGGTTTCACCATGTTGGCCAGGCTGGTCTTGAACTCCTGACCTCAGGTGATCCACCTGCCTCGGCCTCCCAAAGTGCTGGGATTACAGGTGTGAGCCACCGCACCCGGCTGATTCTTTCATGTGTTGAGCTGTTCTATGTGTTTGAGGATGCCTGGTAGCATGGTTCCTTGTACACTAAACGCCTCAGTGCCTCACAAACCACAAGACACCCCCAGGGAGTGAGCCATCTTTGTTGGCTGAGGTTAGTGTTCCTGGTGTCTGTGCCCACTCTTCCCCATGGGAGAAAGAGTGACTTTTGATTGGTGAGTTTGGGAGAACTTCATCCCTTCTCTTCTGTATAAATGCCCGGGAATTCCCGTTCTGCCCAGGACTGATGGGAGAGTTAACTCTAGGAAAGATAGCAAACCCATTAAGCTAATGATTTAAAGACATTCTCTGTGCAGCTTTGTCAGTAATAAAGCTGACATTTTTCACTCTCCGTCTGCCTCTTAAGTCTCCTTTTTCAAATGCTTGAAAGAAGCATTGAAGAAAGAAAAGAGCATTTGTGTGCTCCACATACAGCCCATTTGGAGTAAAGGATAGTCATTGTTATGCCAGGAGGGTTGGGGCCATCCAGGACGCATGAGTGGAGTGAGGCGTGAAGACCCCCATAGAACCTCATCACATAGGCTGTGGCTTCTCAGAGGCCCAGGATTCTGGAGGGGAGCTCTTGGGGATTCTGCGAGAGGAGATAAGAGGAGGGAAAGTGCCACCCACTATTTCAACCATAGCAACTGTGGTTTTCTGTGTTTTATATTGGGTTCAAATATACGTAAAATCTCATTTGTTTTTTTTTAAAAAAGGTTCCACGGCAGAAAGAAAAAAAGAAAGTGTTTGGCAACATCTGAGCTGAAGAGTTGGCAGAGAAAAGAACAGCCCAGGAAGAGTGATAAGGAGGTGCCAAAAATGCAAGAGGAAGGAGGAATATTTGCAGACCAGGAAGCTGAGGAATGGAACTTTTCAAGAGGCAGAAAGTGGCTGAAGGTTGGGTAACACCATAGGGAGGTCAGAGAAGAGGAGAACAGAAGAGTGACCACAGCGTTTATTGACATTGTGATCTTGGCAGGAACAGGCTCAGGGCAGTGTCAAGGGCCAATCCTAAATGGTAGGGGATTAAGAGGTAAGTAAAGAAGTGAGGAAGTTGAGACCATTTGAACTTCACTGTAAAGAAGATGATGGAGACCTGGCACAGTGGCTCATGCCTGTAATCCCAGCGCTTTAGGAGGCCGAGGCAGGCGGATCACCTGAGGTCAGGAGTTGGACACCAGACTGGCCAACATGGAGAAACCCTGTCTCTACTAAAAATACGAAAATTAGCTGGGCATGGTGGTGGGCACCTGTAATCCCAGCTACTCAGGAGGCTGAGGCAGGAGAATCACTGAACTGGGGCAGGTAGGGGTGACAGAGTTTGCAGGGAGATGAGATTGCACCACTTCACTCCAGCCTGGGTGAAAGAGCAAAACTCCATCTTGGAAAAAAAAAAAAAAAGAAGAAGATTATGGACCCTGGATGGTATCAGTTTCTCCAGTGCCTACTGGTTGTCAAAAAGGTTCATGCACAAAAGAAATTAAGTCGCTGCAATGTGCTGGACAATAGAGTACTATTTGTGGTAGAAACAGAGAAACCCTTTTTCAAATGTGGTCGAAATAGGAGAAGCAGGGGGTCTGGGAGGAGTACAACAGCAGATCCTTGCCTTCTTTGCTGAAAGGACTGGTTGTAACCATTTTGTTGTTGTTTCATATTGAAGAGAGCATTAATCTTTCTAGGAAGTCCATAGCTCAGATGGGAGCTACAGTTAACAATGCCTCCTCTGTTGCTAACATGTTAATGAATGTTGAATCAGCAGGAGAGAAATGACTTCTCCTCCGCCATATTCCATACCCTGCTGATAGCAAGGACATAAGTGCTGCTGACTGGCTGCCTAATGGTCCATGGAAGTCACTGAGGTGACATGGTTAGTGCTGCAGAACTCAAAAGGGCTTCTTCCTTCATTCTTAGACCCAGAGAAAAGCACTGGGAGGAATGAGAAAGTAGCGACTAGACAAAAATGAAAACTCTTTAAGAAGCATTGCTGAAGTTACAGGGGAAAAAGGTAAGAGTCTTAGTGGTCATTTTCCTAAGTGCAGCTCTGAAATTGAAATGATGTTTGACCACTCCCACATAAAGACATGGCGAAGAGTGAGATATGCTTGCATGGCCTTCTGAACTCCACTGGGCAGAAGACCTACATGAGACATGTTAGACCACTGGAAGGAACAAAGACCCATGTTCTTCTTCTGGCTCTAGTTCTGAGCCCATAAGCCACTGTGTTTTCCACCAGTTGCATTCTCTGTGTCTTCATCTACTCATCAACAAAACCAAATTACAGGCCACTATGTGGATAATTCATTCAGGCCTGCCATGTTGCTTAACCAACAGAAGAGAGGAGATTCAAAGGTCAGATGGGAAAGGTGCTTCATGCACTTAAGTTTAATCTCTTAACAACACGGACAGGCATTATTACCCATCTTACAGATGGTAAAACAGGCCAAGAGAAACAAGTCACTGGCATAAAGTCCCTCAGCTGGTAAGTGACAGAGTTGAGTCAAAAGCCCAGCTATGTCTAGCTGTGAATAATATAAAATGAATGAGTGATAATTGAGTGAATGATAAGAATAAGGAATTAAACTTATAATACGTTTTAGACATTTTAAGTCTAATTAGGGACTTTTTTGTTTGTTTGTTTTCTTTTTTGAGATGGAATCTCACACTGTCGCCAGGCTGGAGTGCACTGGTGCAGTATCTCCACTCACTGCAATCTCCACTTCCTGGGTTTAAGTGATTCTCCTGCCTCAGCCTCCGGAGTAGCTGGGATTACAGGCTCATGCAACCATTCCCAGCTAATTTTTTTTTTTTTTTTGTGTTTTTTTCTTTTGTAAACAGAAATGCTTGCTCTGTTGCCCAGGCTGGAGTGCAGTGGTGCGATCTTGGCTCACTGCAACCTCTGCCTCCCTGCTTCAGTCTCCTGACTAGCTGTGACTACAGGCGTGTGCCATCACGCCCGGCTAATTTTTTTGTATTTTTAGTAGAGATGGGGTTTCGCCATGTTGGCCAGGCTGGTCTTGAACCTCTGGCCTCAAGTGATCCGCTCGCCTCAGCCTCCCAAAGTGCTAGGATTATAGGCATAAGCCACTGTGCCTGGCCTAATTAGGGACTTTTGTTTCTTTCCCTGTTTACTTTCAGAATCACTTCTTTGCCCATAAACAACTAGGAGCCAGACAGTCCTGTCAGTGGTCAGAGATTCAGTGCTCAGCAAATGATAAGTAGGCAAGTTCTCGCATCTCCTTCCTATGGCACAAAAATCTGTGCAAGATTTATGAATCTTAAATGTCCACAAACCATGGGAAATATTAAGTGGAAAGCAGATAAAGAACGCTATTTTGTTGTTAAATACATTTTGATATATCCACAAAATGGAATGCAACCATTAAAAAAACATGATGTTAAAGAGCTATGAATGGTTTATTATAATGTAAAGTGGGAAAAACGTGTGTGGACATTGTTAATAATAATTGACATTGGGAGATGAGATCATGAACAATGTTTTTCTTCTTTTCTGTACTTTCTTGTGTTTCCAACATTTTCTTTAATTAGTATTCACGGTTTTTATAATTGAAAAATATGGGCTGGGCATGGTGGCTCATGCCTATAATCCAAGCACTTTGAGAGGCCAAGAGGGGCGGATCACTTAGTCCAAACCTAATGACAACCCAACTTTTCAGGGAAATGCAAATTAAAATTGTTCTGAGATCATCACTACGCATTCACCAGAATGGCTAAAATTTTAGAGACTGACAGTAGCAAGTAGGAGCAAGGAAGTGGAGCCAGGGAACATTCAAGCACTGCAGATGGCAAGAGTCCAGTGAGTGACTGGTAAAACCATTTAGCATTATCTTCTGAAAACAAATGCCTGTCCAACACCTGGCAAACCCACTCCTAGGTATAAACTCAAGAGAAATAAACACATATATCTACAAAAATATGTGTACATGAATGATTATAAGCAGCTTTAAAATTGAAAGTAATTAGTAGCCAAAACCAGGAAGCAGCCCAATGGCCATCAACAGGAGAATGAATATTGTGGTCTGTCCATACAATAGAACACTACACACCAACAACAAAAGAACAAATGACTGTTACACAGAATGACAGGAATGGGCCAGCACAGTGGCTCATGCCTGTAATTTTAGCACCTTGGGAGGCCGAGGTCAGAGGATTGCTTAAGGCCAGGAGTTCAAGACCAGCCTGGGCAACATGGTGAAACCCCATCTCTACAAAAAATACAAAAATTAGCCCAATATGACTGCAGGAACCTGTGGTCCCTGCTAGTTGGGAGGCTGAGGTGGGAGGTTCACCTAAGCCCAGGAAGTTGAGGCTGTAGTGAGCCTTGATTATGCTACTGCACTCCAGCCTGGGCAACCAAGCAAGATTCTGACTCAAAAAAAGAATGACAATAATGAATCACACAGAGTGTTGAGTGAACTAAGCCCACACAAGAGAATGATACACAGTGTGCATGATTTGGGAGTGTGATAAAGACAGCTCATACTAGCTCATGAGAACAAGTTATTCCATACATTTTGAGGAATTTTGCAATCCAATCATTAAATACATGCTTTATTTAAAATTAAATTATATAAACTTACAACTAAATAAATTGCATATAAAATAAAGGTAGTAAATACTCAAACCTCATCACTTCCTAATTATTTTACAGCATTTTTACTCTTCTCTATGCAATTGAGATTGTTTGCATCTATTGTATCCATTTGGTGGAAATAATATATATAATTGTGTTCTACTGTACATATATTTCCAATACCATGTTCAATAATCACACCTTGATAGCTTCAAATCGGCCGTGGCGATTGCTGGAAAAATTGACAAAGGTACAGATCAGGGTTCCTCCTCTTCCTCCTCCTCCTCCTCTTCCTTCCTCTCCCCTCCTCCTCCTCTTCTTCCTCCTCCTCCTCCACCTCTTCTTCTTTCTTCTCGTTCTTCTTCTGCTGCTGCTGCTTCTGCTGCTTCTTTCTGTTTTGAGAGCTGGTTGTCAGACATTTATCAGTACACCACTGCTATGATTACATTTGCATGAAACTCACGTATGGGGGTTAGAAGGCAGAAAGGAGATTGCCTGGGGTGGTGCTGGGGAGCTCCTTCCCAGGATGAGGCAGGCAGGAACCTTACAGAGTGATGGTAATATTATTCTACATTTTGATAATGGTGGTGATTCCAAGGGTATAAACATCTGTATGCAATTTATCCAGGTGATACCTCAATGTTTAAAATAATCTTTTTAAAACATGGGGTCTTGCTATATTGTCCAGGCTGGTCCCTCAACTCCTGAGCTCAAGTGATCCTCCTGCCTTGGCCTCCCAAAGTGCTGAGATTACAAGCATGAGCCACTGTGGCAGGATAAAATAAATTTTTAAAAATTTTCAAAACAGTTACCCTGAAAAGACCTTCCTCTGTAGGAAGGTGGGAAGTCTGGCATCCCCACAAAATTTCATGTTCCATCTTCATGGGGCAGCTGATTTACAAGGGACCCTGGAAGGAGGAATAGTCCTTTGTAACGATTTCCTGTGACTAGACCATAAGCTTGGAGGACAGGACCTGCATTGGCTTAAACTTTATAATTGGCCAATAGTCCCCCTCAGTGCAGGTAATAATGATGGCTAATGCGTTTTATAGAGCACTGTTCTGAGTACTTTGCATGAGTGAACTCAATCTCCGCAAACTGTGAGAGGATTTTATGATTCCATTTTTCAGATAAGACAACTGAGGTTAAGGGCCTGACTCCAGATCACACAGCAAGGGAGGTGGCAGAATCAAGATTTCAACCCAGGAAACCTGCCTCACATGCCTATGTGAATCACTACACCCTTCCCATAATAAATAAACAAATAAGCTATTAAGTTGTTAATTAATTTGCACTGGATAACATGGTGTGGCCCCCACTTCTGGGTCTTCTGACTTACATCTGTGAAAGATAGATGAAGGTTCAAACACATGGGCTCAGTCACCTGCATTCCACCCTTTCCCACATGGCAGGTGTATTGCAGGACTTACTGATCTGAAGTTAAACAAAGGGGCGGTAGACATAAGTGACTGTAAAAGGCCCAAAGGAGGAGACTCAAATGGCAGTTCTGGGTGCAATTTGGTTGACTGTGCCAAGGGAGGCCCTCCGTTCCATCAGGGAAGTGGAAGCCCAAAGAGAATACATCACAGCGCATTATCGCTGAACTTGCCAGTTGAGTCCAGCCCCAGCAAGGAAAATATCGAAGGCTGAATGTGTAGTCCCATTGCCCCTGGAAATTAATTAGCCTAAGCCCACCCTGTCTGAGCATGTGACTCTCCTCACACACAAATAAATCTGCAGCAGGACCCGGGCACCATGAAATCCACTCTGAAATCACCTCGTAATTAGTTTGGGATGATTGATGGAATCAGTCAGACCTTGGATTTGCTTTAGGATCACAGAGCCCTAGCTTTTATGGGTGAGAAGACTGACATGCAGAGAGGAATTGTCTAAAGGGGGGTCCTCATGAAATAGATCAGAGACCCACCCATTTAGCTGCCGCACTGTCCAATGAGCATGGTGCCAAAAAGTGCTGCTCCAGTACCTAAGATCATGCCCTTGGAGTTATGACCATGGCCTCCACCAAAGCCCCACGCCACCGTGACTGCTCGGTCTCAGCAATGGTATTTGTTGAGTGCTAACAAAATCTGGGAAAGCAAACCAGAGCCAGTCTCAGGGTGCAGGTGGTGGCAGGGCTATGCAGTGTGCTGAGGGAAGATTGCAGGGGTCCACTCCTGGAGCTGGGGCCAGGGCTCAAGGGAGGACAAGGCAGAGCCCATTTGGATCCTGACAGGGTGAAAGTTCCGTATCCCCTTAGCCTTCCTCCAAACCTGCATGCAACTTCTTCTCTTTTGGACGCTGTCTCCTCTCTCCTCCCCTCCCTTCTCCTTCCCTCTCCTTTCCTCCCCTCCCTTCCCCTCCCTTCTTCTCTCCTCTCTTTCTTCTTGCTGTTATTTTGCCTGTTTCCTCATGAGACAGCAGAAATAAATCAGAATGCTACAGTGCAAACAGATTCTAGAATTACATATATCTGCCTGAGTCCCTGACCAACCTACTTACAGGTCCTAAGTGTTCCTTATCTATCAAATGGGGAGGCTTATGGGATTATTAAAGGGTTTGGAAGAGACAAACGTAATATATACACGCATGCATTGCTTTTTTAAAAATGTGATGGACTCACCAAGAAAAATAATAACCAAGTCTCCCTTATCATCTCCATCCTCATCCTTCTCCCACCCCCAGAAAAAGAGGTTATGCTTTCAATTCAGAAATGTTGCCCCTGGACCCAATTCAAGGACTCTGGATTTTCAGGGCCCTTGATCTCTCAGTCTTTACATAAGACGGTCCCTCGGCCTGGAACTACTTTCTCCTTCCCCTTCTTTATCTGGCTAATTCCTACTGACACATTCAGACTCAAGTGTCTTTTCCTCCTGGAAGTCATCCATTCTCAAGAAATCCTCCCCATTCCAGAGTCCCTGAGCTGACCTCTTTCTAATCACACCTGTAAGCCTGGGGACACAGGCACATCATTGAGAGTTTCTGCTTGGTGGTCCTTTCCTCAACTGTCATTTGATGGAGGACACGAGACCTTCATTAACCACAGTAGCCGCAGGTCTAGGAGGGCACTCGTGCAGAGTGGGTGCTGTGGTGAATATCCTAGAGCCCAAAACAGAGCTATGAAATGTTAGAATTCACCCTGAAGTGTTAGTGCTTAAGATTGCCTTTTCCTAGTGACCGTGCTTACAGCAGGATGAAGGAAACGCAACACAGAAAGATAATCTGCTAGTGGTAAAATCTGTGGTACTAGTGGAAGATAGATAAGCACAAGAATGGGGTCTTTGCTAAGGCCCCTGAGATAAGAGACATAACTTCTCCACCTGGAAGGAAACTAAGCAGCCATCAGATTTATTGATTTATTTATTTATTGAATCTCAATAAATAAATTCAATAAATATATTTTGTTTATTCATTTATTTATTGAGACGGAGCCTTGCTCTGTCACCCAGGCTGGAGTGCAGTGCAGCAATCTCGGCTCACTGAAACCTCTACCTCCGGGGTTCAATCGATTCTCCAGCCTCAGCCTCCTGAGTAGCTGGAATTACAGGCACCCACCACCACACCTGGCTAATTTTTGTATTTTTAGTAGAGATGGGGTTTCGCCATATTGGCCAGGCTGGTCTCCAACTCCTGACTTCAGGTGAACCTCCCGCCTCGCCCTCCCTAAGTGCTGGGATTACAGGTGTGAGCCACCAAGCCTGGCCAGATTTCAGTTATTTTTCAGCTGTGCTTTGTGGATTTCTTAGATTCTTGGAAAGCATGGGGAGTGGGAAGGGCGGTTCGAGATTCCCCTCCCCCAAGTCTAGAAAGGAAACTCTGCTACTGTCTGAGCTTGTGTGCAAGATTTTCCATTCTGGGCTTGTGTGCAAGATTTTCCATTCTGGGCTTGTGTGCAAGATTTTGTTTGAAGAAAGAGTTCTGTTAATGGGAAAACCAAACTCTGTAAAATATTTTAAAGAGGTTTGTTCTGAGCCAATAGGAGTGACCAAAGCCTGGGAAAAACACAAACCCAAGAAGCCTTGAAAGAGTGGTCCCGAGGCAGTTAGGACACAATTCTGTTTTACACATTTTAGGGAAGTATATGTTATAGAAAAAGTCATAAAAAATCAATACATAGAAATTAG